CCCATCAGGGACCCCCCGCTGCCAAACACGGGCTCGGCCATGGGCACGAAGCAGGGCGGCTCCTGGTAGCTCGGTTGCATCTGTGATGGTGGTGGCCGGTGGCCGGGGAAGATATCTGCAGGGCCAAGTGGAGACAGAGTGACGGGCATGAAGGGACCCTCCCAGAGAGGGGGTGACAAGCCCTGGGGCATGCTGGAGGGAGCCGTACCCTGTTACCGGCACTGCTGGGGACTTGCCAGTCCTGCCTTCACCTTGCGAGGCCAGGGCAGCTTCTGGCTCTACCAGCGGATTTGGCACCCAGGTTGTGAAACGCTGGAGTATGGAGGGAAGAGGCAGGCCACGCGCCTGGGGCCAGCCTTGCCACATGCATGGGGACAGGAAAACCCGCCCAGGGCTGCCACCCAAGGGTGGGGACCCCGGCCCCGACACCCAGCTGGGCACCGCGTGCTCCAGCGCTGGGGCTGCTCCCAGGGGGTTGCGTGGCTGTACCGCCCCTCCTGAACTAGCCCGGTGCTGGGGCAGGGACCACGACACCCAGGCTGCAGGGCAGCCACAGCAGGAGGGCTTGGAGGAGCGGGTCGCAGCGTCCCCGAGCCGCAGGGGACAGTCCCCTGGGGTCGTGGCGAGTGCTCATCTCCCTGTCCCGGCGCTGCCGTGCGGGCAGCCTGCGGCTAACCACATCCCATGGCCTTCCCGAAGCCGAGCCCTGTGACCTTGCCGCGACTCCCTCTCCCTTCCTCTCCCCTTCCCACAACCCTGCTACTTCCGCAGGCCCAGACGCCGCGGCACAAAGGGCTGGCCTGACACTTCGGGCAGCCGCCTGCCCGGTGAAACAAGCTCCCTGGGCACATCAGCCCCACGCATGCCTCGGCTTGGTGCCAGTGCTGCTGCTGCCTGTGCCAGTGCTGGCTCGGGCATCGCCACGGGGAAGGTTTTCCCTGTAGAGGATGACTGTGTGGCAGGGATGGGGCTGCTGGATGCTTCCCCATAGGATGGAGCAGGAATGCTGGCTGGGTTTGCAGGCAGCTGACCGACAGCCCCTGGCACAGGCTCTGTGCCCAAGCAGCCACCCCAGGACGCAGGTGCTCGCATCCCCTCCGGGGAGCACCCAGCCATGCTCCCAACCCCTCGGCTGGCGTGAGCATTGCTGCCTCCAGGCCCTGCGCTGCTGCCGGCAGAGCCCAGCCGAGCCCACATGCTGGCTCTGCCTGCCTGGCGTGTGCAGCTGTGCCACGGGCACTGGCAGGGCTGCAAGGACTCTGCGCTCCCTCCAGGCTGTGACACAGGCTCCAGTGCCCAGGGTGCCCTGGCTGGGACCCACAAAAGCCTGAGACCCTTTTGAATCTACACCAGAGGAGCAAACATGCCAGCAGCGTGGGATGCCATGGGGCTGAGCATGGTGACGATTCCGGCAGTGCCATGTGCTGCCAGCCGAGGGTAACACCGGTGCAAGACGGGGCAGTGCCACGGCTGAGCTGCCCCACTCAGCCCTCAGACTGCCCCTTCCCCCTGCCAAGGACACGGTGAATGCCCGGGAGCATCGCAGAGCCACCCCTGCCCCACCATGGGCCGGCACTCGGTGTGGGCCGCGGTGCTGCCAGGCAGGGTCTCAGCCTCCCCGGGGCGCAGTACCCAGCTCCACGCTGCCCCCAGCCCTCCGCCATGCCCACGCCAGGCTGTCCCCTGCCACTGGCGCTGAAGCTCTGTGGGTATTTATAGGCATTTCTGGTGCCCAGCTCTGCAGATTCGATTCCTCTTGTGCCTCTCGCTGTGCTGCAGGGATGGAAGGTGGCTCGCAGCCCCTGGGTGCCCTGTCCTCCCTTTCTCCTGCCCCTTCCCCACCCCACAGCTCTTGCCCACGCTCCTCTCTGCTGTTGCATCACCCTGACCTGCTCCCAGGCCGCACAGCGTGGCCAGGGCATGTCACTGCTCAAGGGGGAAGAGCCCATGCGGTCGGCACACCACACCTTTGGCATCCCGTTCAAACCTGGGGCTGCTCTCCAATGGGATTGGGGCTACAGAGCCCGTTCCCAAACGAAGGACCCTCCAACACTGGCCCCAGGCTCTGGGAGAGCCCTGCAGCACGGCGGGGTGATGCCACCCCATGGGATGGCCAGCCCAGCCCCCAGCTCCCTGGTGCCCGGCACGGGTCCTACCTGGAGCGTGGTGCCAGCAGGGCACAGGGCTGGGCTGCTCCCTCGCCTCTGCCATCAGGACTTCTCCATCCACCCCACACTGCGCTCCGGCACCCGCCGCGGACACGAGGTGCTTCCTCATTTGGGGATTGGTTTGCATGCACTGACTGACAGGCGCCGAGCTCTGCCACAGCCACCAGACACGGTGACAGCCCTGTGACCCTGCAGGAGCCCTGCACCAACCGTCGCGGCGCCCACCCCGCACACTTGCACCGCGGTGCTCTGCACGAGGCTGCTGGGGGGATCCCTGCTCCCGAGCCATGAAAAGCCATCGCACACCCTGCTAGAAAAGTGGCCTTGAGGACATAATTGGGTTGTCTGGCACCCGCAGCTCTAGCACCCAGCACCTCCTCTCCCCACTCCTCCCACAGCCCCGTGGTCACACACCCCCTGCGCTGCCCATCGCATGGTGTGCGCACACCTCTCTGCTCCTACACCTCCGCCCAGCACACCCTCGCCACCCAGCGCACACCCACATCCCGCCAGCGCGCACATCGCTCACACGCGGCACTCGGCTGTCGCGGTACTCTAACCTCTCGTCATCCGGGCAAGCTGCTCCAGGAAATGCCATGTCCCAGACAAAACTCCCACCCACGAGTCTCTGAGCACCCCACAGGGTGCTGCCCTGCCCTGGGGCACACAAGCCTCTCTCCAGCCGTGCTCAGCAGCCCGCGCCTGGACAGACAATGAGCCACACCTGGGATGCCACCCCTGACCCCAGCTGGGCTTGGGACCCTCCCCAGCCCCAGCAGTCCCCCCACGTGGAGCCGCTGGGCACGGGCAGAGCAGGAAGGGGTGCTTTCCTGCGATGTAGTGGCTTGCAGTAAGACCCATCCCATTCCCAGGCAGCACTCCGGAGCAAAACGCAGGCCTTTTCCCCAGGAAGAAAAAAGACAACTTGGCTGCTCGTAGAAATATATTGGTTCAGATGGGCACCGCCGTGCCCCTTGCCATCTCCTGCTGCACACGAGGCCGTGCCACACTGGTGGCACGAACGGCAGCTGGGCCCACAAAGAGAGGTGCTGGGGCTGCTGCTGTGACACTGTTGTGGCAAGGTGCTGCTTGAAAGGGGTTGGTGCAGCTTTCCAGCACCATGCAGGACCTCTCGGGGGAAGGGACACTTGTCAAGTGTCAGTTTGACCCATCTGGAGCCGTCCCACCTCCCAGTGACTGATGCCCACATGGGGCACCTGGGGACAGGAGGCAAAGGGCCAGCAGTGGGGACAGACCCTCTTCCCAGCACGGCTCACCCTGATGGCACCTCTGGAGGGAACGAGCCGAGGAGGGCTGGCAAGAGCCTTCCTACCCCATCCATCCCTGGGGTATCCCACCGCCTGCCCTGGCACATCAGAGTGCCCCAGCCTGCTCCCCGCCAGCATCTGGTCTTGCATCACCCTGCAGCCGTATGGTGCAAGCGCCCTTGTTTCCTCCCGCCGAAGGAAGTGGAGACCAGCCGTGGAGCTCACAGGGTGCTCACAGCTGCACAGAGGGATCCGGAGATGCTGGTGCTGCCTGAGGCCACCAGCTACCTGGGAGGGCTGCAGCCACCAACCCACACCGGCTCCCACCCTGCAAAGTGAGCCTAGGCCACCAGCTCTGGCACGTTCGAGGGCAGAGCTGGTCCCTGGTGCAGCGTGCACCAGCGGTGCCTTGCCCTGGCATATGGGGACACTGCACTGCACAGCTGGGCCCAGGACACGTCCCAGCTGACTCCAGGGCGCTCACGGACACGCATGGCTCAGAGCCTGCATGGCAGCACCGGTGGCAGCCCCATAGGAGGAGGCTGCCATTGCCTGCTTCTCAGCGTTCCACTTGGCAGCCCCCTTGCCCCCAGCTGGACACCAGTGCCAGGTTTGGCTCTGGGCCAGCCTGGCAGGGACAGTGACTTCTCCCCAGGGGACGTAGCACAGCCCAGCGCGGGGTCCCAGCTCCGAGCCAGCCCCCCAGGCTGCTCAGCCTGGGGCTGGCCAGGACATGGGGTGAGGAGGGGGACACAGCAGCACAGAACCTGCTCTCTGGAGGTTTCCTCTTTCTTGTGGGGGACAATTGTCCTTCCTCTGTCTGCAGCCAAAACAAGGTGGTTTGGCACTCCTGGAAAGACCCTCTGTTTGTAGAAATCCCCTCCCACAGCTCCTGGCCAGGCCCTTCCCAACCTGCTGTGGCTCCGCCCCGGGTGCGGGCAGGCATGCCAAGCCCCTGCCCTGCAGCCTGCCGCAGCACCCTGGCCCATGCATGCTGCTTTTTCCATGCCAGTGGATGTCCGGTGCTTTCTGGCTGCCCCAGCAGCTCCTGCTGCTGCCTGGCCAACCCTCTGACCCCACCATTTTGGGCTGCCGTGGGGTGCAGAGCATGCTGGGCTGTGTGGATGTGGTACCGCATCCGGGCTGGCTCTTACCTGAGATCTCCATATCATCCAGGCTGGGCTGCAGAGGTGCCAAATCCGGCTGTATCATGTCAGCATTCCCAACATACGCTGGAAGAGGGCAGAGCTGCAACACTGGGGCCCAGCCACTGCACCCCGAAGACGCCCCTTCAGGGTTCCTCCCACCACTGCCCTCACACCTGCCTAGCTGCCACCCCTCCGTGGCACCCCAGAGTCACCCTGCATCACTGCACCCTGCCCTGCAGCCGTGCACGGGCAGGGAGATGGGTGCCCACCCTGTGGAGACCCAGGGCCATCCCGTTCCCACCACCCTGCCCACCAGCACCTCTGGGACCTCATCCAGCGCCCAAGAATCCCAGGGAAAGGCTGATCCTCGGCACAGGACCTGCCTGGTGCTGCAGGAGCTCCAGGGACCTGGCCAGGCAGGGACAGCGAAGAGTGGCCATGGAAGGCAGGACCTGCCCGCTGCTTACCCAGGGCTGGCAGCCCTGCCCTGGGGTCTGGTGCAAGGTCCTTCATGGGGCTAGCACTCCCTGGGCAGCTCAGCCCACCCCACCTGGGACAGCCCAGGCTGGTCCATAGGGAGCCACCGGAGAAGAGGCTGCTCCTGCCCTGCCCAAACAGAGCTCTCACTCCGGCAGGAGGGATGCCAGGGGATCCTGTCTGCCCAAAGGACACAGGCGGCAGCTCTCAGGGGCTAAGCCAAGAGGCAGCAAGGTGCTACAGTGCGTGCTGCCTGCCTGGACCTCCTCCTCCACATACTGCTAGAGCATGCTCTGGGGCACCTACCATCCTCGGGGAGTGCCTGGTGGGCACTGGGTGTCTGTGTCATGGTGAAGAGGGTGTCAGAGATGTCTGAGAGGAAGGTGTCCAAGTCGAAGTGCTGCCTACCCCCCGGCTCCTCTTCCTCATCCCCAAGCAGCATGGGTACCACGTTGCAGAAGAGCTGGTTGCACCATTTCTCCGTTGGCCTCCAGATATCCTCATCCTGCATGAGATGGAGCAAAGGAGCCAGGTGGGCACCTCTCATGGGTAGGGTCCATGCCTGGCTGCCCAGCTGCTCTCCCTGGCAGCTCCCATGCTCCTCACAATGTTTATCACTCCAAAGCTTCACACTTGGCACGTTGGTGCTTCCAGAAGGGTGAATCCGGCATCCCAAGTGCTTGGCATCCCACACCATTGGGCTCGTCATGCCCTGGGGCTTTCATCCACCCTTCTCCCAGGCTGCCCAGCGCAGGGGTCCACATTGCACCCCACTTTCCCCCCCTCCTTACCCTTCCCCAGCGGACTCACCTGCTTTGGACTGGAGACCTCTCCTTCCCGGGTGGACTTTCGGAGCTGGAAGGAGAAGACAGCCTGTGTCACCGCCCAGCCAGGGCGGGCATAGTGTGGGGCAGAGGGGGCCAGCGCTCAGGAGCGGGGTCCCTGGGAGGCTCAGTGTGGCTGGCA